AGGTGGAGCCAGGGACTGGGGAGAAAAAATCCAAACACATGATGGGTTAATAACTGGTGAAATCAAATAGGTTGAATCAGGATTGAGGGATGTCAGTGACAGCCTTGTCCACTGATTTCAAGATGCTGTTTCCCTGGTTTCACTCTTCTCATCTCCACTCTTGATCTCCTTTAAGTCAACGTGTCTGAGCTACACAGTCACCTTGAAATCAGGACACAAACACTTCCACCCTTTTCTTGCTTAGAAGTTTCCATAAAGCAAGGCTGGGCTCTGAGCTTTTTACCCCATGAGAGGCCAATGTTTCTGTGTAGCTCAAGAGATTGTTTTTTGTTTCATTAAATTTTTCGTTTGACTGGTTGGTTGGTTGGTTTTTTATGTTTTGTTTGAGAGGGAGTCTCACTCTGTCGCCCAGGCTGGAGTGCAGTGGCACGATCTCAGCTCACTGCAACCTCTACCTCCTGGGTTCAAGTGATTTTCCCTGGCTCAGTACCCAAGTAGTTTGGGATTACAGGGCACAAAACCACCATGCCAGCTATTTTTTGTATTTTTTAGTAGAGATGCAATTTTGCCATGTTGGCCAGGCTGCTTTCGAACTCCTGACCTCAGGTGATCCGCCCACCTCACCCTCCCAAAGTTCTCAGATTACAGATGTGAGCCAGCGACCCTGGCCAGAGACTTCTTATTAACAGCTAAGACAAGCCAATGAAAACGAGAGAGAGTCTAGCCTGAGGAAAGTGAATGAGGGTGGGAGGATAATCTGAGCCAATCCTCGCACCTAAGCCTCCTGAGCAGTTGGGACTATAGGGGCAAAGGAACATGCCTGGCTAATGTTTTGTATTCTTTGTAAAGATGGGTTTCACCATATTCTCCAGCATGCTCTTGAACTCCTGAATTCAAATGATCCTCCCACTTGGGCCTCCCAAAGTGCTGCGAATATATATGTCAGTCACCGCAGCTAGCTTCATCCTAGTTTCTGAGTAAACCAATATGTACCTATACGGCCTGTACTCAGAATGGATCTTCCGTAGCCTAGACAGAGGTATGAGACACAAGGAAAATAGAGGCTACCTGGGACAAGGTTTAGAGCATCCTGCCATCCATCTGGAGACGATCCACGGTCTATAAGCAGAGTTGAGTCCACTTGGTCGTCCTCAAATGTGATTTTGGAGTTCTTGTGAGGCTGGTTGGACTCAGAAGGGCCATAGATATTTGAACAAGTGATGGCACATTCCTCCACTGAGTCCTCAGGGACTTCCTTTTCTTCAGCCTTCCGCACCTCCCTGATGAGGTGAGACAGAGATGCCAGAAGATTAAACACACAGGGATTGGACCCCAGGGAGTCCTAGCCGCTTTTGACAGGAGGCATTAGGAGAGTGGTCACAGAAAGCAAACAGAAGGCTCCCTTTAAGAGGGAACAGGCAATCCTCTTCTCTCTGCAACACAGCATGGCACCCATGGGAGACAGAGAGGAAGAGAGCAACTGGTGTTCATTGCACTGGACAGATAGGAACTGAGAAAGAAGAAGACTCAGCTATCCCTGTACAGTACAGACATCACACTTGCCACACACAGAGAAACACAACAGCTGCCACACCCTGTGTCTAAGTTGGGTTGAATTTCACATACTGTGGCCAAGGGAATGCAGGCTTTTGGCCCATCATAGATGCCAGAGAGGGTGTGCCTCTTAGACCTTTTTCATATGTCAAAATCCATTACTTGCTCCTGATTATTCAGGGTTACCTGGGGGCACACGACTCCTGTACTTTCTCAGCCTCCTCAACTTTAACATCTTCATTGTTATCTTCATCATTTTCTGTAAATACAGAAGTGTTCATTCAGATAGTTCCCACTTCACACTCTATAAGCACACTCAACCCAATGTGCACAGAGACATGAATATCTAGGCAAGGGTCACCATTCAACTGAAAGCCCTCATGTTTTACTTTAACAAAATGCCCTGGCATGATTTCCTGTTCCATCAGGCAATGCATTTCTGTTCTGGAGGGCCACCATCAAGATGTGGCCAAATATTGAAAAGACCCTTTGCTCCCCATATCACTGGGGACTTGCGCAGCCTCTCTCGGGACTTTGGCAGCTGTCTCCATCATCCCACCACAAATCTGATTCCCAGGCACAGGCTTGGTGTCCTGTCATAGTTCGCATTTCGAACCTAATTCTTTCTCTTAGGAGAGGACAAACTGGCCCCACAGTCCTCTATGTATCACGAGACTTAACAGGCCCTCCATGTGGTTTCTCCTGTGTTATTCAGGGACATGCTCTCCATGGGGAGTGCTCCAGTCTGAAGCACCTCCTACAACCAAATGCTCCCACATCAAGTGCCTTCCCCAACACCACATGGCGAAGGGCTTTATCTCATTTTTAAAAGCAGTCGTGAGTGTTCCCACATTTGGATGCTTCAGAACCTTGCAAGAGACAATGTGCCTGCCTTTGCAGATGGAGAGAGAGAATCTCACGAGGGAAAAATCACTCACTCACCGACACTTACTAAGAACATTGCCAAAGACACAGCCTGCGAACCTTCATTCTTAGTCCAGAGCTCTTTTCACTCTAACAAGCACCCTCCTGTCACAGCCTCCTTCCTCTCCTTTACAACTAGGGAGATGTTGCCTCTGGCTCCAAAGACCATCTTCCATCAGGGAAGGAGGGACATTCCCAATACTGTGACCTCCAACCCCATGGCTTGCAGGGTTTCCCATCTCTGATCTCACCCAGGAAGTCCTGGTCATGTCATGGCCACATATGTTTAGTGGAAAAAAACACCACCGATACAACTGTCACTGTGAAAGTACGAAGGTCTGGAGTCTCTCATAAGCCTGGGGTTCTGGGTCAACAGATCCTATGGAAACCTTACCTGTGGTGAGCTTTTGGACAAGATGCTGTGCCAGCCTACAGCCCTCGGCCACCTGTTCTTGGAGGTCCCTCCCCTGGGAGTTTGCCGGCTCATCCGCAGTGAGGAGGGCCTGGAGATGCTGATTCAATGCGCGGGAGGCATCTCTCCCTTCCTGCAACTTCTCCCTTAATTGGCTCAGCTCTCGTTCCTGAGACTGAACCAGGACTTTATATTGCCTAAGGTGAGATAGTAGAGAAAATTGAACAGTGGAAAGGGGTGAGTGATCGGTTGATCCGTTTCAAATATTGCGACAGAGTTTCTTGAGACAATGTCCTCATAGAGACTCCAAGGAGAAGGTCAGACATATTTCCAAATGTCTTGTGGCCAGGAAAGAAGACAAAAAATGTTTACAGGCTTCCCTCGGGTTACCAGGAGAGTGCTCTGTTAAGCTCTCGACGATGTTCCATTCATCTTTCCCTTCTGCTAACAAACTAGGTGTCTTCCTTTTCACTTTCAAAAGACATTCATCCTTTAGTTCCTCACTCTGGCATGGACATTTTCCATGTGAAATACACATAGTGCACTCTCGCGTGTTCTACATGCAAACCATGGACAGAAATGAGGGCCGTGCGAGGGGACCAGTCGAAAAGATGAAAGAGAGAAAGAATGACAGGCTCCCAGAAGTCTTGTGATTGACCGAAGGATGAGAAGCCGGCAGTCGTCAGGAGGTGATTCTGACTTAGGGTAAGTGG